TCATTCTCTATCACAGCTTCCTATTGTAATTTCCTGCATAGTTTTCATTCCTGTTAGTTTCTTGTTCATTACTTCTATTCATTCAACAAACTTTTATTGATCACTTCTTGTGCCAGCCAGACTAGGCATGTGTTTTATTCTCCCTGAATAAAGAGTCTGTCTCCCCTGAATTACATGAAAGCCTATGAGGACAGACAGGGGCCTTGACTATAGCCTCGGGGTCTGGCACAGAGGAGGCATTCGATAAATATTTAATTTGTGGAATGAATGAGAGCACATAGTGATGTGTACTCAGGAAATCAGAATTAGCCAATACAAGTTCTTACTTAGGTTTCAAGGCTTTGAGGCGGCCAGTATTCTAAAGTGGCCCCAGTGTTAGAATAAATCATATCCTGCCTGTGTTTTTCCAGGCCAGCCATGACTTCCTCCCTGTTTATGTCCTGTTTGCATTCATTAAGGGCCTACTGTGTGCAGGCCTACACTCAGTGTCAGTCCCTTATCCTGTCCCAGCTCATCTAGCTGCTGGCATTCAGCAACCAGCCATGGAGAGGCCACAGGCTGCCCTGCCTAGAGCTAATAAATACCCAAGTGGCCAGCCAGCTAGTGACACCCTTCAATAGAGGTCATTTATGGTGCAATCAAGTGACAGGTCTGCTCCCACACCTGTGACCCCCTTCTGCCCCAATTTCTCAGATACCCAGGGATCCAATGGAATACCCAGAGCCAGTAATCAGAGAGCCGTCCATGCCCTATCCCCCAAGTCTGTGTGCCAGCCCATTTCCCAAGCAATGTGTAGCCCTATTTCTCTTTGCCCTGCATACAGTCTGCTTCCATCACCAGGTTCCTGCCATTAAAATGTCATCCAGCAAAGTTGCAAGACACTGTACTGTGGGGTCCAGCAGCATCAAAGCTGCATCACACTGGCTGTGTCACTCTGATCTTGGATAGGTCATCCCACCTCGTGGATCCTGTTTCCTTCTCTCCACAACGAGGATTATAAAAGCACTAACTTTTGCAGTTGTTATAGCTGTTGCCTCTAGTGTTTCCTGCTTCTTCCTGCTCTCTGGGCCTCCTTGAGGTGAGTTCTCACCAGTCCCAGCTCAAGGGATGAGGTAGGTGAGAGGAAACAGCTCTTTTATGGCAATATTTCTGTGGCTAATCTCATTACCAGAAATTAACAGCAAAAGAAGGCTGCAATTCAACACAACAAACATGTACAATTCAAACAACAAACATATACTGGGTTGGATACCAGGGATACAGAGAAAAATCAGACCTAATCATGAAGAAATATTGTCAAAATGGGGAGGCAGACCAGTCAACAAGACTACAGTACACATGCAGTGCATGCTGTGTTACCAGAGAGATGTGGAGAGGGAGCTGCAGGAATACTGAGGATAAAATTGTCAATTCCACTGGGCTGAGGGTGAACCAGATAAAGGGGAAAAATGATGAGTCTGGCTCCCTCCATTTGCCACATGCTCTGTGCCAACCACTTTCCTTGGATTAACAGGACAGGTAGGTGGGTGAGAGGGGAGAGTCTGGTCAGAAACAAAGGTTGAACCGTGGGTTCAACAACAAACACATGACCTGGGAGACCTCATGTTGTAACTCACACAGCGTTCATCAAGCCAACCCCTCCTCTTTTCCTAACACAACAGTTTGACAATTGGTACTCTTATTTCCTTGGATGCTGTATCAATCTACATTTTGGTCTAGTATTGGCCCTTTGTAACCAGGGAAACAGTCCTGGCTTTCAGTTCTAAACAGGCAATAAGGAAGTTTCTCATAAAAAGAATAGGCATGTGTTGTTTCCATGGGTCTCCTATCCTCTGGTGACATGTAATCTCAGATCCCCAGAATCTCCCTGGCCCCCACCAGCTACATGCCCACTGGAATGGCAAAGGCAGCAGCCTATCCCAGGGGATTGGAGAAGCAACAGAAGCTATGGCTTGGACTAACCAAGGAGTGAGTAACTGACCAGACGGGATTTTGCAAGATAGCCTTCAAGGTCTGGCTACGGCTCTCTGGCCCACTGGTTGCATGTCCCCTCTGATAGGCCCTCCTCTATTTCCTTTCTGCTGACCTCCAAAGATTAGGTGCCAGGTCAGCAGCAGCTACAGACAACCTAAAGGCTTAAGGGCCAAGGGAGGCACTGATAATCTACTGACCTCATCTTCAGAATCCCTATTATATAGCACTTTGAATAAACCAAAAAACCAAATTTACTGCCATCGAGTCAATTCTGAATTATAGAGACCCCCCCTTTGGGTTTCCAAGATGGTAAATCTTTACGGAAGTAGATTGCCCAGTCTTCCTTCCACAGAGTGGCTCAAAGGTTTGAACCACCAACCTTCTGGTTAGCAGTCAAATGCCTTAGGCACTATAGGCACTATGCTACTAGAGCTCCCTAGCACTTTCAATAGAGGAGAAAAATAAAATAAACAAGATTTCTCTCTTGTTTAAATAGCAGGTGGTTGGTTAGAATTGCCTTGTTTCTTTCAGATCAGTGAAGTGTCATGGTCAAGGGCATGGACTCTGGGGCCAGACTACTTGGGATTCTGCCACTTAGCTGTTGGACCATGCATAAATCATTTCCTTATCTGTAAACAAGGAGCTCTGGTAGCATAGTGCCTAAGGCACTGGACTGCTAACCAGAAGGCTGGTGGTTCAAACCCACCAGCCACTCCTCGGAAGGAAGATGGAGCAATCTATTTCTGTGGTGATACTGCCTCGGAAGCCCAAGGAGGGGTCGCTATGAGTCGGGTCCAACTCGATGGCACACAACAACAACAACAACATCTGTAAACAAGAATAACAATAGTACCTGCCTCAATGGGTAATTGTCAGGAAAAAAATGAGTTAATATATATAAAGTTCTCAGAGTAATACCTAGCACACACTAGAATAAAACCTGTAAAAGCCAGAACTTACCTTTCCAGGTCTCATAAGTTTTCTGCCTTTGATGGGATGCAGTCTTACCACTTTTCTATCATTCATTTTAGTGAGAAATATTTGAATTTTCCTTGTCTGACAGTCTTCTGCCTTACATAGGTTTCAGCTTTTACAGGTTTTACTGTATTTTTATTTTGGCAAATCCATTAAGAAGAACAGTTGACCCACATGGTAGTGGAGTTAGATGAGGAGGTCAATGCTTTCAAATAGGTGCTGGGTAGGTATCCCATACCAAGTTCTCTGAGAAACTGTGGGAAATTTATTTTCACTGTAGCAAAGATCCATCAGTAACAGTGAAGGCTTGGTTACACAGGAGCAGTGCTCTGTCAAGCCAAACACAGTCCTGGGTACTGCTCTGGCCTGATGCTGCCCCAGGGTCCAGGGCATAGTAGGGCATAGTATAGCATCCTCTGGAGAATGATGGTCAAAGATTCATCAGTGGGCCCTATCCCATCACTGAATGGATCCCTCAGATACCCCTGCTCCTTGGGCTAATCGACAGCTTCTGCCCTCACAGAGCATATAGCTCTGTGGGGTCCCTGAGAGTTACAGTACTACTGACAATGAGGTCTATGCATCATGAAAAGATTCAAAATTCATCTCTCTGGATCCTCATATAGCTCCCAGCAATCCAAGAAACAATAGCAAATTTCAAAGGATGGAAAATCCATTTGAAAAAGAATCTCTGAGCAACCTCTGAAAAAGGCCTCACAGCTCACAGAGAATCACAGGGCTGGCAGCAACTGCACGAACCAGTGGCTTCCAAACTTGCTCTCAATCTCCAAAGCCATTGCTCAACTGAAATCCACCCAGAAGCCAGTACATAACATTGATTCAAACAGAGCTACTCTGGGGAAAATACTGACCAAGTAGTCTGCTTGGCACTTTCTGCCCTCTCCTCCAGCCCCTGGCTGCCCCCAAGGTAGCTTCACAGAATCCTTGGACTCCACAAAGCATTGAGGAAACCACTAATGTAGGCCAATCTCTCTGAGTAGATATGGGAAAATGAGTCCTGGAGAAGAAAAGTGACTGACTATATTATGTCCTGGACACTGGGGACACTGAACGGCACCTGAAGGCAAACCGAATTTTCTGACTCCAGGCTAACACTTCTTACTCCACTTTGCTAGGGCTAGAACTACGGAAAATTGCATTTTAAAGAAACAAGGTTCTTTCTGATCCCCTACAACATAATCTCTAAGTATTTTAAAGGCTTCTGAACTAGCCAAGAATGAAACAGAGCCCAGCCCCACAGACTGGCAGCAAAAGATTCAGAAATGAATTGCAGAAACATATCTGACAATTCCATACAGTTTCCTTCAGTTCCATGGGACATAAACAGGTCTTGAAAGGCTTGGGCTATGCGGCTGTGTGAGACCCCGGGCCAGGAGGTGAATGCTAATGAGCTATGGAAATAGCAATTACTTCCCCCATGTCAGGCATTATGCCAAGCTAAGGAGGATAAAAAGGTCTGAGATATTTTAAAAATATTTTTACAACAGAAAAACTTTCCTACAGACTCAATTATATAACGATCAGACTCCACCTCTGAGCTGAAATTATCCATGGCCTTCAGGAAAAAAAAAAAAAATCATTTTTCCCCGACACGAGGGTCACAGGTTTCTCCAGAGAAGCTCTTAGCTGAATGGCCAGTGGCCCAGGGCAGCTGTGAATCATCAATCCAGAGACCTTGCCCCCAAGCGCTATCTGGAAGCTTCCAGAGAAGAATACTGGCCAACTGGAGGGCAGATGCCATGCCAGTGACCCAGCTGTCATGCACAACATTGTAGGACCCAGGAAGGTCCACCCACTCTAGAAAGCTTCTGACCCAGCCCCATCAGTGCCCTAAGCTCCCTTGTTGTGAAATGGCTGAAATCACTGAAGGAGAAAGGATGCCCAGGGAACATTTCTTTCGCCCACAGTAATCCTCTGTCATTGGCAAAGCAGACAGTCAGAGAAAGTCCTCTGGGACTTAAGGAATGAAGAACTTCACCGATGGAATGACAGCCAAAATCAAAGAAATAGATTCAGGAAGATTAACTTACAGCCCAGGTTTTTGTCAGCCTGAAGATCGGTGCACTTTGTAATGCTGACACCACAGACATGAGAGAATGAAGGTTATTGAGTTCTAGAAGTTTCTGAAAAAAAGATATGGAATAGATTATTTTGCTGCCATAAACAACAGAACAAAAACATGCTCGAGTGTTACCAAATGCTGTCATATTTATGAAATTCAATTACACTTAAAAATATCTCATGTAGAAAATATAGTTCTAGGAAGTTCATAGAAACCATATGCTCTTTTTCTCTCAAATTGTCAAAACGTGAGTCTGCATCTAAAACATTTGCAAAATTTCATAAGCTGACTAGTCTGCTTGCTGGACAGAAATGTGGCTCGGGATAAGGCTTGATAATGTTCTTTATGTTATTTCAGAAGAATCTGAACATTGTCCCAGCAGGTTCTGTAAGCTAAAACCTTGGTTGTGCCAAAAATATCAACGTGGGTCTTGTGTGATTACCTTAACACCAGAAATGAGAGAGAGAGTCTGAGGAAAGATATTATCAATCTGCATAATCCTTCGCAACCTCGAAGACAATACTCTGGTTTCCCGCTCACTTGACCATGCTCCTTTGAACCAGACCCCAAATTAGTGAGAACATTTGGATTCAATTCAGTCTCAGACAAGTTCCTTACCATGGAGGGAAACAGAATGAGACACAGTCAAGAGTAAGTGCAGAAAAATGTAATTGCTCTGTTCTTGGTTTTACACTGAGGGAAACTTGCTAATGGGACTGCGGTCCATTTCTCATTCTTCAGAATCAGTCAAGTTTGGGTTAACAAGCAGGCTCTAAGTAACCAAAAGCCCTCATTCCAGTCCCAGCTCCCACTACTTGTGTGTCCTGTGGCAAGTCACTTTTTTTTTTTAACACTTTTCAGCCTTGGCATCCTCCTATTTAAAAGAGGAAGGTAATCATGGCACCTATGCTCTATGAGACAGTGCATGCAATTGTCTGGACTAGTCTCTAGCACCAGGGTGAATGCTCAGTACAATGTGGGTCTCGTTATTCTCTGTCTGGAAGACTCATCTTTTCCCTCTCTTGTCACTTGTCCTGGGTGCTTCCAAGTTCAAATCCATTTCCTCTAGTAAGCCCTTCCCCAAAGTTAGGAGGTTGAGGACCTTCCCTCTGTGTTCCCTCAGCAGTATGTGCATATCTTTAGCAGATGAGACTCGCCTTTCTCTCATCCTGGGCCACATGTTCCTTGAGAGCAAGGATGAAATTTTATCTACTATCATATCCCCAGGAGCTCCGGTGACACAGTGGTTAAAGCATTTGGCTACTAACCAAAAGGCCAGCAGTTCAAAACCAAGAGCCACTCTGAGAGAGAAAGATGAAGCAGTCTGCTTCTGTAAAGATTTACAGCCCTGGAAACTTTATGGAGCAGTTCTACTCTGTCCTCTAGGGTCACTATGAGTTGGAATCAACTCAGTGGCAATGGGTTTGCTTTGGATCGTATCCCCACTACCTAGCAGAGAGCCCAGCACATGATAAACAAACCAAACTCACTGCCAATCAACCAAGTTGATTCCAAGGCCGTAAATATTTATGGAAGCAGACTGCCTCATCTTTCTTCCATAGAACAGCTGGTGGGTTTGAACCACCAACCCTTTGGTTAGCAGCCAAATGCCTTAACCACTACACCACCTGACCTCCTTGCCCAGCACATAATAGGGCCTAATAAAATGAATAAATAAATGAGAAGCCCTTATGCCTAGGCCTCATAGCTCTATTCCTATTCAGAAAGTTCTCCCTTACCACACAAGTTAATGCTCATTTCATACATCTTGTAACATTCTCTAATTGTTTCCTGTGTGCAAGAATAGATTCTCTGAGTAAACTAAATTTCATTCTATTTCATTTCATACTATCTGAATTGCTATGCCACTAAAAGGCCTCTGGGAGATTATCTAATCTACTCCTTTCATTTTATAGATGGAAAAACCAAAGCCCAGAAAAGGGAATGACATACAAGGACACAGCCAGGGCACGATGCCAACATGAAAATACACCATGAGAAAGAATGGTAAAAAAATTAAGAGGGGGGGGAGGTAGATTTCTTGGATGAGGACCATAAGCTCATTTCCAAACTGAAAGTCCAATGAGGGGTGGAACCACATTCAACTTTTTCTTGTGGCCCAGCACAGAACTGACTGACAGCAAAAAAGTATCCTATCAGTAAGCCCAGCATGGTTTCAAGTACTTTAGGAGAATGCATAGGATTTTTTTCAGGAGAATGAACGGATCATAAATGTGGCAGTTGCCCCTAACATATCTACATACTGAAGCATTTAACCTCCCCAGAAGGCAGAGAGACCTGGGCTGCAGTTCCTGCTCTGCCACTGACTAGCTGTGGGGGCTCCTGAGCATGGATTCCGTACCTCTCTAAGCTTCTGATTCCTTCCCTGGAAATGGCATAATAATGCCCATGTACGGGTTCATGCTGAGCATTGAGTAAGAGCATGTAAGTAAAGCAACTGTTACAGAGCCTGGCTCATAAGGGTCCTCGGTAAACGTTAGCTTCCCTGGGACCTGGATAGGAAGACAACCCATACACATACAAAGCAAGCAGTGTATGGACAGAACAATGCTGCTGCCAAGAGTCAGGCAAGCCCAGGTGAGTAGGAGCCACGTATGGGGAGGAGCTGACCAGGCCATGTAAGTGATAAGAGGATCCCAGGAAGTCCCCAAGGAAAGAATGCAGCCTGGGCCAGCAGGGAGCAGGGAAGAAGAGGGAAAACTCTGGGTATAGATGTCAGCCTGGTAACCAACAACTGGCAGGGACAGAACCTATGAGGGTAGGGGGAAGAAGGTGGAGGTGAGGATAGCAGGGTCATCTGGCCTAGGCCGTAAGCTCAGAATCTGCTGACTGGTGACAAAATTATGCAGGATGTGATGTTATTGCAAGCACTGATGCTAACTAAAAATCCATCAATCCCCCCCCCCGCAAAAAAAACCTCACTGCCATCAAGTCGATTCGACTCATAGCAACCCCCCCTTGGGTTTCCGAGGCGGTATCTCTATGGAAGTACATTGCCCAATCTTCCTTCCGAGGAATGGCTGGTGGGTTTGAACCACCAGCCTTCTGGTTAGCAGTCAAATGCCTTAGGCACTACACCTCCAGAGCTTTCAATACCAGTTAAATCGGGAAGAGGATATATGAATTCAAGAAGTAGCTGCTGGGACCTCATAGAGATTCTGCGAAGCCCAGGTAATGAGAGTAGTTGGTTGCATAAATTATGTGGTAAAGGGGCATGCTGCCAATGCATGGGGCGGGGGGAGCTGAGTGGGAAGCCAGGCTGCTCTTACAGCTGGTTCTGCTCAGGGAGGTTAAGTCAGGCCACAGCCACCTTCTAGAACGCTTCCTGGCAGATCCAGAGCAAAGAAGCTCCCACATGAGAATGTCCAAAGTACAGAAGAAACACATTTGGGGGAGGGGGGGAGAGGAAGAAAAGAAAGAAAGAAATCATAAAAACACTTACCTTGGCTATTTTCACAAAATGGCTCAGAATTTCTGCCCTTATTTTTAACGTCTGTGCTGTTAGAATTTCTCGAACAACCCAAAAACTGACCTGTAGAATCAAATACATAGACACACACACACACACACCAAAAAAAAACTGTTAAATGCCAACCACCATGTGACCCTTGCCCAACTCTGATACAGGATTTCAAAGGCGAGAAAACTGGAGAACACAGCCTAATGCTGTATGAAGTCTAGGGCTCCTTCCGGGCACCCCCATCCCTACAGATAGATGGTCCCTTATTCTCAGTCCCTTCCAATCCTACCCCCACACCTCCATACACACAGTGGTGCTGAGAGAAAGAAGCACTTCCATCATTACCAGGGAAATTACTGGGCCTCTGAGACATGAGTCTCTCTCAAGATGCTGCAGGGAATTCTGAGATGAATCAGACAGGACTCCAGCCTATAAAGACCCCAATTGTAAAGAGACCATGAATGAACAGATAGGTGGATGGACAGATGAACAAATGGCCAAAGAGATATGCATACTGGTAGAACCATCCATGAGATGGTTAATGTTCTAGGAAATGTTCACCCAAAAGTTAAATGATATAAAAGTCTCTTTCAAAGTTCTATAAAACAATGTGGGTTAAAGAGCATATTTTTTGGAGACAGCTTGTGCCAAATGGCTATACCAGCACCTTCGGTTCAGAATATCATTCATGTTGACCTCTCACATAAATCAACATCCCCAAATCCCTGCGTGCTTTGGTGGAAACAAGAAAGTCATCTAGCAGTGCAGTCATCTCACGTAGCACCTCAATGAAACACAGAAGGCGCTTCAAGCCTATAAATGCTGGGAAGTGGTTGTTGTTGTTATGTGCCCTCAAGTAAGACCCAACTCATAGCGAACCCTCCTTGGGTTTCTGAGGCGGTATCACTACGCAAGTAGATTGCCCAACCTTCCCTCTGAGGAGTGGCTGGTGGGTTGTTGTTGTTGTTGTTAAGTGCCGTCGAGTCGTTTCCAACTCATAGTGACCCCATGCACAGCAGAACGAAACACTGCCCGATCCCGCGCCAGCCCCACAATCCCTGCTATACTTGAGCCCATCATCGCAGCC